CAGTAAAAGGCACATGACAGCCCGCTTGGAGTTTGCCAAAAGGCACCTAAAGGATTCTCAGACCATGAGAAACAAGATTCTCTGGTCTGATGAAACCAAGATTCAACTCTTTGGCCTGAATGCCAAGCGTCACGTCTGGAGGAAACTTGGCACCATCTCTACGGTGAAGCATGGTGGTGGCAGCATCATGCTGTGGGGATGTTTTTCAGCGGCAGGGACTGGGAGACTAGTCAGGATCAAGGGAGATATGAACGGAGCAAAGTACAGAGAGATCCTTGATGAAAACCGCTCAGGACCTCAGACTGGGGTGAAGGTTCACCTTCCAACAACACAACAACCCTAAGCACACAGCCAAGACAACGCAGGAGTGGCTTAGGTACAAGTCTCTGAATGTCCTTGAGTGGCTCAGCCAGAGCCTGCACATGAACCCGATCGAACATCTCTGTAGAGACCTCATGAGGGTGTTGGTTGCCTCATGAGGCTGCCTTATCAAGAGTGTGCAAAGCTGCCAAGAGTGTGCAAAGCTGTCATCAAGGCAAAGGGTGGCTATTTGAAGAATATCAAATATAAAATATATTTTGATTTGTTTTAACACTTTTTTGGTTACTACATGATTCCATTTGTGTTATTTCATAGTTTTGATGTCTTCACTATTATTCTACATTGTTGAAAATAGTAAAAATAAAGAAAAACCTTTGAATGAGTAGGTCCAATCTTTTGACTGGTACTGTATATATGCTTCACATTAATATTATATAGACATCTTACATTTTAGGATCGATTTATTGTAGGGTATTGTGCATGTAATTCATGATGATTGAATCAGACTTTCCAATAGAAGTGTTATGTGATTCTGTGTTAAGAGTTATGTGACTCTGAGTTAAGTGTTATGTGACTCTGAGTTAAGTGTTATGTGACTGAGTTAAGTGTTACGTGATGCTGAGTTACAGTGTGTATCAACATGGGAGCCAGACTATTTGTGTACCATTCTACTCTCTCCTCATGAGGGTGTTGGTTGCCTCATGAGGCTGCCTTATCAAAAATAAATCAAACATATATATCATCTAAATATATGTGCATAACTGCACCTTTATTTGCACTTATATCTTTATTCAACACAACAGATTTGCAATGGCTATGGAATGCTCTACTTTTTCTTTATAAAATAAAGGGACAAAAATAATGTAGAATGAAGTATAAGGTGCGACATATGGTACTTGAAAGCAAACTACAGGTAGTATTAAATTAATACAATTACATACTGTATGCTCATAGGAAATACATAGGACAATAAGCAATGTGACATATTGCTCCTGGACCACTGTACTTGCTTCTTCAGATGATGTTCTTCATGATAAAACATTAAAACAAAACTGTTTCAGTTATTTGGAAAATGCAATGAATTACAGATGTAGGATCTTAATTTGATCACCCTGTTGTAGGACATCTCATCAGGCTTCTGAAGTTGGTAATTTCCACTTTGAAATTTCAGACCTGATGTGCCCGCAAGAAACATTTATCAACCCCAACAAAAATGACCATTAAATATAATCCACATAATAATTAAAATGTTCTCTTGCTGAATAATTATTTTCCTACTTCAGCAAACTGGCTCAAATTAAGACAGAGACACCTTATTTTCTGAGACACAATCAAACCCTGTTGAAGTTCAGTAGGGCATCATCCTTAAACCCCTTTAACAAACACAACAGAGGCAGATAAAGTGGCGAGACTAATACTACAAAGTGGAGACAGCCCACCAAGGACAAAAATGACACCTTGTCTTAACCTATACCTGAGATCAAATAACGACATCATATTAGCTATCTCCTTCCTCATTCATAATATTTGTACATTAACAAGATGTGATAAGCATTACAGTTGACTCTATGGGAAAAATGCAAATACACCTATTACCTCTGACATCAATATTAACCTCTTAGTTGACATACATTTTGTACAGATGCAAAGCTCAGAAATGGAAAAATATTCATAACATTATAGAACATGTGACATCATTCAGCTCTCCTAATACTGTCATTCAGAACTTTACACAATAAAATAATAAACAAATCAAATCAAATTATTAGCAAACCAATGAAAGAGTACAAACTGAAAATAATACAAACAACAAAAACACAGGTCTACTAAGACACTTAGAAAGGAGATATTGCTTAAGTGATAATGCCTAATAAAAGCCTGTGTTTGGAGGATATATTGGCACGGTTTGCCGACCCTCGACTTCGTTTCGGGCCTAACAACACCCGTGCCAATATATCCTCCAAACACCGGCTTCTCTGGCATTATCACTTTTAAACAACAGGTTACCAACATATTTAAATAATGATTGACATATTTTCATTAAAAACATTATTTTGATTAATTTATTCATACTATTTCATCCTTCCACAACATATAGTGCCGACACAAATCTAGGGTTCCATTGCCATACTGGCTGGCAACGTTCTTATCCCTTGCTTTCTAGATAGCCAACTACGGCTAACTTATAGTCACATCAAACAGTGCAGCCAGAATAACAACAGTAGCTGCATTTGCATTTGTTTAAGATGTTTTCTAGTGACATTTATTTGGATACATCCATAACAATGAGCTAATGAGGTGCGATTTCGCCTGGCATAGAAAATGTGCTCTCTCGTCAGGAAACTGTTGTTCAGAGGAGCTAGCCAACAAAACAGCTAACACAATCACTTCAAACTGAAGCTGGAAAGACTGCAAACTAGCTGCACTTCGTTTCATTTGACCTGTTTTTATTGATAGTTCTTTGTATATATCCATAAAAATGATGCTGATTCATGATTTTGACTGGCTGAGAAAAGCTGCCTGCCTGTCTGTCTCGTCCCAACGTTCATTACTATGGGACAGCTAGAGATCAAATTTGAATATTGAAACAATGTTGCAAATGTCGGAGAGACAGACAGCAAGGTTTATACAAATCTCCTCTGTTGAAAACTAAATGTTAGTCTAAAAGAAATATGAGATAATGTCTAGATGCTTTTTATAGTGGAGATAAAGTTTATATATTGCCTGGCTGGGCTGATGAGACAGTGGATTGCGCAGTCAGATGGAACAGAGTAAATAGGCATCTTAACGTAATAGATTTAGCCGGTGGTAACTTGTGGAATAGACACCCGTTGTATAATTTTGAATAAATACTGTCAAATAAAGATTGTTCTTGCCAATGTCAGGACCTTAGGCTGAGCACAGGTGTGTTGACCCTTCTGCCTTTCAATTGTTCTAAAGAGGTGGGCGAGATCAGGGCCTCTCAACACACTTTCACCCACTGCGTCTGTGGATGTGTCAGGCCTTGACAGGGCATCCCAAAACAGCTATGCTTTTGTTTTTACAGTGTGTTGAATGCTGACACCCTCAGTTAGAGTAAAGATGAAGGATTTAAAATAAAATAATAGACAATAGGATAATTATTTCCACTGAATGTTTTTCTAAAGATTGTTTTATTGCATATAACTCAAAGCCTGGACCCTATACCCAAGCACACACAGTATAAATACTTTTGAAAAACATGTTTCTCAAAAGAAAACGGACTTCGATCTTCATAGCACCTCAACTTACTTTAATTAATTTCATTACTTTAATTAATTGAGTAATTCAAAGGTATACAAGCCAATGCCACATTTATGGTTGTCTTATTCTTTCTGATCATGTGGATTTGTATTTTTATTAAATTGTGTTTTGTCACTCAACATACACTGAGCGTACACAGCATTAAGAACACCTGCTCTTTCAATGACAGAGACTGACCAGGTGAATCCAGGTGAAAACTATGATCTCTTATTGATGTCTCCTGTTAAACCCACTTCAATCAGTATAGATGAAAGGGAGGAGACAGGTTAAAGAAGGATTTTTAAGCATTAAGACATGGATTGTGTATGTGTGTCATTCAGAGGGTGAATGGGCAAGACAAAATATTTAAGTGCCTTTGAACAGGGTATGGTAGTAGGTGCCAGGCGCACTGGTTTGTGTCAAGAACTGCAACGCTGCTGGGTTTTTCACACGCAATATTTTACTGTGTGTATCAAGAATGGTCCACCACCCAAAGGACATCCAGCCAACTTGACACAACTATGGGAAGCATTGGAGTCAACCTGGGCCAGCATTCCTGTTGAACGCTTTTGACACCTTGTCGAGTCCATGCCCCGACAAATTGAGGCTGTTCTGAGGGCAAAAGAGAGGGTGCAACTCAATATTAGGAAGGTGTTCTTAATGTTTTGTATATGAGACGTAAAGACTAATATCTGTGCACACAGAATGGATAACGATGACAGGAGCATAGCTGTACCACATAGCCACTACTCTTAACAGACATTGTTGTGCTGTGACTTGATATTTGGTCCAATTAACTACATGTGCTGGTGGCTACCTCACAGTGGAGCATGCAGTTTGTGCATGAGCTAAAATTGTATTTTGTTTTGTGATGTCAACAACGTCTCTGAACATGTATCCAGTGACAGTAAGAATCATATGACGACTTTGATTGTTGATGAAAAGTGCTGCTACAGTCAAACCTGCCTGAAGCAGGGAATAATGCTTAACCCCAACATCAATACCACAGTCTCTCCAGCTCTCTGTACAGATATGGTATCTTAATTTGATCACTCTGCTCCACAGGAAATTGTAAAGAGGCCTAGTAGTAACATAAATTCACTGAAAACCCGCAGTTCCTCTTTCTATCACTAGATCTCACGCCTAAACTATAGCCTACTATAGACTATGAAAACTAATTTCCTGTTAGAAATTATCCGTTTTTTTTAGAATAATAAAATCCTCCTGCTGCAGGATTATTTTACTCCTGCAACGAAACTGGTCAAATTAAGATCCAACATCTGTATATCATAACTCCTTCTTAACAACACTTTAGATCTTACAGGAGCACATAAAGGTTTAAGTTTCTTAAAAATATGCATGTCACAGGTGTTACAATACACAATCTGTACAAAGTGTAAAAATACTTCTTGACATCAGCCAGAGTACAGAGAGCTGTTTGGAGCAGGAACATAGATACAGCAAGACTGAGTTACGTACAGTAGGTCTGGGTGATGAGCGGTGGTCAATATTTTAGCAGTTGATAGCAGGGTTGTAATTGGACAGGTGAGGGGACAGGAGTCATATCACAGGAGATTACCACTGTCTTTCTCTCATATTTCAATGTGAGACTCATTTATGGACGGACTGACTTTAATCGAGCCAGAAATTGTGTAAAACCTGTGGGAGATACAATGAGAGAAAAGTTTGATGAGTTAGAAAAGTTAGAAAAGTTGCATAGAAAACTATGCAGTTTTTAAGGTATAGCGATATGACGTAGATGCAGAAAGTAAACAGCATAATGGGTCAATTTCCGCAACAACTAAGAGCGTTGAAGCACGAGGCTCAACTTCTCAGCTGTTTTGGTGCCCTGACTACCAACCTGTACACATGAGCAGATACTATGTATAACTGTGTGAGAGCAAAGTCTTGCATCTCGTTCATCTTAATATCTGCGATGCTGCTCGTGGCAACGTAATTTAGCTGAGTCTACCTTTAACTCTAGATCTAGCAAGCTGTTTGAGAATTTTTTTTAACTACATCGTTTTAACTCTTGATCTTGCAAGCCATTAAACAAGATAAACATTAAACTAGGTCTATACAGTTTTAACTGTCGATCCAGGGGAATAGAAAGTAGAAGAGAAAGCCATGAAATTAATACTACTCCATACCTTGACTTTTTTAAATGTGTGCGCTTCTTCAGAACTTGAAAACAGGAGGATTTTGCACAGGAGTGTTTCAGGTCGATGACCTGGTAGATGATGGGGTTGTACATGGCAGAGGACTTAGCAAGCAGAGTGGGGATCACAGAGACAGAGATAGGCACTGAGTCGGGCTCGCCAAACGCAGACACCACTGAGACCACTGCATAAGGGATCCATGCTATCAAGAAACCAGCACAGATCAGCATCGCCACCTGGAGGACACAAGTAGAACCACATCACAGGTCTGTCACAATAATTAAAGTATCTCTTAGGTGAGGTTCCGTGCACAAACACGCACACGTCCACACACACACAGTCATATCTAACTAAGATCATAACATGGTGTCAGAAGTGCTTTAACCTAGTCAAATATAAGACAGGAGAGATTATTTCACAGAAAATAATAATGTTCCTTGAGTTTTGTCGGAGATTAGAGTGACGAAAAGTAGCTAACAGCAAACTGCTCTCACATGTCTCTTCTCTTCACTGAGCAGCCCAAGCAGAGCCATTTCTATGGATACTCACAGACTCAGAGCCACCATGAGCAGAGAGCATGCAGAGTGAGCAGCGCTCAGGGAGCGAATGGCAGACAGAGAGGAGCAGCTAATGGATTTACTAATGGAGGAAGTTATTTCTGATTTTGGGTTTCGGGCAGGTCCTTAAATTTGGCAGAAGCATTCGGGCCTGGGTAGGGTAGAGCCTGAACGTTGCAGGCATGGGTAGGGCTCAGCCTTAAAATGAATGCCCGTGCAGGGCTCTAACATACACACACACACACACGCACCTTGGTAAGTTTAATCTCCATATTATGGCTGTTCTTGTTCCTGGTGTCAAAGTGGGAGATTTCTTTGGCTGAGGACTTGACCTTGAAGATGATCATTACGTAGGAGAAGACGATGATGCCGGTGGGGAAGATAAGGCAGAAGAAAAGGATGGCAATGACGAAGCTCTGGCCCGCCACAGAGGCCTGGGCCAGCCACCAGTCCAGAGTGCAGGAAGTGCCAAAGGGCTCGGGAGCGTAGCTGCCCCAGCCCACAATGGGCATGGTGGCCCAGAAGCCTGCGTACAGCCACACAAACACCATACTCAGGAAAGCATGTTGCCTCTTTAGCCATGTCCCTGTGGGCACAATTATGGGCACAATGATCAATCATTCTTTGTTTCATTATTATAATAAAGTGTCCAGATATCACAGATCATAATTTCAATGAACTTATTCATGACAAAGTGTTAATTATTCATTCTTATAAAGGTCTTGTGTTACTGTAAACCAGGGGTGTCAAACATATGGCCCGGGTCCAATCCGGCCCGCGGGTGGTTTGAGTAAAACAAATACAACTTGTAAACAAATATATATACTTTAAAATGACTAAAACCAAACCGAAACTGTGTAGAAATGACTGTGTCTAGCTCACTAAATAATCACCGAAATGAAAGCTAGACAGTCAGGGAGCATCTAAAATTCTAAAAGACTTTTAGATATACCACCCAAACAGATCCACAGATTACACAATATCTATTGCACTCCACACTGCCCTTTCCCACTATGTGAGAATGCTGTTAATTGACTACAGCTCAGTGTTCAATACCATAGTGCCCTCCAAGCTAACACTAAGCTAAGGACCTTGGGACTGAACACCTCCCTCTGCAACTGGATCCTGGACTTCCTGACGGCACGGCCCCAGGTGGTGAGGGTAGGCAACAACACACTCACCACGCTGACCGTTAACACGGGGGCCCTTCAAGGGTGCATGCTTAGTCGCCTTCCTGTATTCCCTGTTCACCCACGACTGCGTGGTCGCGCACAACTCCAACACCATCCTTAAGTTAGCCTGATCACCAACAATGATGAGACAGCCTATAGGGAGGAGGTCTGAGACCTGGCAGTGTAGTGCCAGGACAACAACCTCTCCCTCAACATCAGCAAGACAAAGGAGCTGATCATGGACTATAGGAAACGGAGAGCCGAGCACGCCCCCATTCACATTGACGAGGCTGTAGTGGAGCGGGTCGAGAGCTTCAAGTTCCTCGGTGTCCACATCACTAAGGATCTATCATGGTCCAAACACACCAACACATTCATGAAGAGGGCACAACAACGCCTCTTCCCCCTCAGGATGCTGAAAAGATTTGTCATGGGCCCTCAGATCCTCAAAAAGTTATACAGCTGCACCATTGAGAGCATCTTGACTGGCTACATCACCGCTTGGTATGGCAACTGCTTAGTATCCAACTGCAAGGCACTACAGAGGGTAGTGCGGATGGCCCACTACATCACTGTGGCCGAGCTCTCTGCCATCCAGGACCTCTATACCAGGTGGTGTCAGAGGAAGGCCCTAAAAATAGTCAGACTCCAGACACCCAAATCACAGACTGTTCCCTCTGCTACCGCATGGAAAGCGATACCGATGTCTGGAACCAACAGGTCCCTGAACAACTTCTACCCCCATGCCATAAGACTGCTAAATATACTGAACAAAAATATAAACACAACATGTAAAGCGTTGGTCCCATGTTCTATGAGCTGAAATAAAAGGTCCCCAAAATGTTCCATTCACACAAAAAGCGTATTTCTCTCAAATGTTGTGCGCAAATTTGTTTACATCCCTGTTAGTGAGCATTTCTCCTTTGCCAAGATAATCCATCCAGGATCCAGTTGCAGAGGGACCACTGCGCCACTCGTTACTCATTGTGTATTTATTATTACTTGTATTATTATAAATGTATGTTTTACTTTTCTATTATTTCTCTATTTTCTTTCTCTCTGCATTGTTGGGAAGGGCCCGTAAGTAAGCATTTCACTGCTAGTATTTTATTGTATTTGTTAGAGGACTAATCGTTGCTAATTCTTTGCTAGGCGAGGAAATATAACACATTTTCAGTGCAGCCCTATGGACCCCATTGAAGACCGAATGCGGCCCCCTTTGCAAAATTTAGTTTTACACCCCTGCTGTAAACCAAACACAAACTGAGAACATAGCCCACTGTACCGTATCTGAGATGGCAGATCTTGAGGTATCTGTCTAGGCTGACTACGGTCATGGTGATGAGGCTGCCAACACCGAAGAAGAAGCCAGCCCAGCCATAGAAACGACAGCCCTCCCAGCCAAACAGCCAGCGGTGGGAGAAACTGGACGCCACAAAGAACGGCTTCCCTGTGACTTCAAGACCAAACACACACAGTTGTTAACCACTTCAAATGATCAGTGTGTACTGTAAAGACATGAGAACATATAGTATACATGTACAGTAACGTAGTAATGTAGGCCTTCCAAGGAAAACCATCATCTTCATCCACTTCACATAACAGAAGTGCTGTTTCTTCAAAACCCACAATGATAACAGATGCAGTAAAGTTACAATCCTGAGGCAAAGCATGTGACAGAAGAGGTGATCATAAATAGTGTTTCTATCGTGTGAGGAGAAAATGGCATCCTCACCAGTCTGACGCCACAGAGGTTTAGAGAGCTGTCTCTACATACATGTCGACGTACACACACTGCACTCTCCACCAACCCTCATAGTTAACAAAATACTCTCACTTTATGACTCCTACAGTATCACGGTAAAATGGGTACCAAACATTCTGACCCTATTTTCATTTGGACCTCCAACATCTGAGTGATATTCCCAAGATGCAGGCAAAGCTGGCAGACACAAATAGATTATGCTTGTTGTCTGCTGTGGATGATGGCTCTAGTCCTAGAAAGCTATACAGGCGTCTCATACAGAGGGACATAGTTGGCCCAGAGACCAAGAAATAAACAGATAAACAAGTGAGCATCCCGTGGTTGTATGAGACACAGAGAGAGCTGGCCAGAGATTGTTCTGAGACTGAGACACACTGTTGTGAATTCTGCTTCTGGCTGGGTCACAGGGACTCTTTGAGAAACTAGAATATTCCCAGAGAAAGGGGATTTTTAAAACTACATTTTTTAAATAAGATGACTGCTTACAGTGGAACTACATCTCTTGTATATCAAAGGCCTAGTCTATCGATATATTGTGATCAATAGGCCAGGTAGAGTAATATTAGAGGTGTGTTTTTTTAACATGATGCTGTTCCTCTAATGTCCAAACGGTGACGATAAAGGACCAATTCCAGGTTAGGCCACAATTTAGCATATTTCAGGGTTGAGTTACCAAACATGCCTAAAAAGTTATGACATGACTTTAAAAGCAACTCTGTGGATCGAGAGAGAGCTCTCTCTCTCGAGCGAGCGAGAATATCTTCTAAGGAGAGAGAGAAGAGAGAGAGAGCGAGAGAGAGAGAGAAGAGATCTAAGAGAGAGCGGCGGAGTCTCAGAGCTCTAGCTATCTTCGCTATCTCTTCTATTCTCTCTCTTCTAGCTTTCTTCTCTCTATCTCTCTCTCTCTCTCTCTCTCTCTCTCTCTCTCTCATATTCCACCACTTCATCTTCTTCCAACCATTCCCATGTGTCAGGATGTACAGGAGAGAATGTTAATGCAGCACTACCATTGTTCATATACATGCTGTTCTGAATTTAAATACACAGAATACACAAGACTAATCCACCTTACAATGTTATGTACAGAGACACACTGTAAATTGACATACTGTATGAAGAGACTGTGGAATGGTTTACCTGATATGCCAAAGTCAAAGATGGCTAAGTTGACTGTCATGAGCTCAGGCGGCCTTAGCTTTGTCTTGCGTTTGATGGTCATGTATATAACATAGCCATTTCCTGTGGCTGACATGATCCCTGCAGAGAAAACAGAGGACAAGAGGAAGACATGACAAGTTGTAAAATGCAACATGACAGGGTGTACCTACAGATTAGTCAATTGACATACTTAGGCCTATGGCATAATTTGTTTAAGTATAATGCTATAATACTTTAAAGGGGCGATCTGCAGTTGCTACATACATTTTTTGACTTATAAATGAATGATATGTACATATTGATTTTTGAAGAATATAACTTATAAATGCCTCATGAGCTTAGTTTAACTGTCGTACCCCATCAGAACCCAAAATATAAGCTTGTTTAACTCCATTCTTTGTAAACAAAGTAAATGTAAACAAACACTACATAGCCTAAAAACATGTTTAAAATTATAATTGATATCATGGATGGTCAGTCCTTGCATCCACAGCTATGTCTATGAATTTGAGAGTGGTTAGATTTCTCCAGCCCCATCCCTCAGCTTTTTACCGAAACAGTGGCGGGAATTTTTGCTTTGTTATTGTTTCAACTGCTGATTGCCGCTTTAATTAATTGTTTTATTCGCTTTCATGCAATTTTCATAAGTACGTGGTACATTTTCACAACTCTTAGTACAAAACTAAAATCTGATCATCAAAAAGTTGTTTCAAAACTCTAAGCACATTTTCAATTGACTAAGTACAACACACAAAATCATACAGTCACTTTTTCACCAAACGTAATCAATGTTTCATCTAGAAATACATGTTTCACATTGCAATACATGTTCATATAAAGTAATTCCCTTTCACAATGCAATGCTTACATTACCTTTGACATGATTCTCTTTTGTTAAAAGACATTTTACTATTACTTAATCCGACTGCTCTTAATTGATGATCACTTAAACGTTTGGTAAATCTATAGATTTTACCTGAGAATGATGCATAGTCATTGTTCTCCTAATATGTATATACTGTAGAGTTCAAAAAGACAAAGGGCTTGTGGGTAAATGCAAAGATAGTAAACATGCATGTTTTTTTTTTTTTTTTTTTTTTTTTTTTTTTTTTTTTTTTCGGGGGGAAGGATCAGCTTAATATTGCAGATAGATTGTATCTTCTATCAATGTAATTGTCTGCATCACTTCCAATCCCCCATATTTATTTTTATTTTTTATATATATATATTCCCCTTTATTACTTTTCAACCCCACCATCCTTTCCCTACTTGGAGTAAATTAGTGAACAACAACGCCCAGGCCTCTACTTCCGGTCCATACTCACTATCTACACCTTATGGACAGAGTTAATTTTACAATAATTCTATATCTATATCTATATATATATATATATAATATATATATATATACATACATACATACATACACATACACAAAACACATACATATATATATATATATATATATATATATATATATACATATATATATACATATACATATACACATCTATTTATTTTTTTTCTCCTGAACTTCTTCTACTCTCAACCTCTCCGATCATCTTCATGATGTCCATCCGGTTTGCCTCTAAATGCCATATCTTTCTAACTGTGCTCCTTCCCAAAAGCTCCCAACATACAACCTATATACTTATTATGGACACAGTATGCTTACATTATTAGCTATCTTTGTTATTATTTGTTGTTATTTGTTATTAGTCCCATCCTTCAACTCTATTCAATACCTCCCATCTATCTCTTAACACCATCCATATAGGATTTCTATTTGCCATATATATTTCAACCATACTGTGATGTTTTACAAAAGTTCTGAACCTTTCTATTCTCATTGCTTCTACAGATTGTGAATTAAAAATAAACATTTTTGCTAAAAGTATTATTATATTATTGATTGATTGACTATGACTTTTCAGATCACCCAGTAATGCTATCTGCAAGGTTAGTTCCAGGTAAATATTGCAATCCTTTAGCCATTCCTGGACCTGTGTCCAAAAACAAGCTACAAATGGACAGAACCAAAACAAATGATCTAATGATTCTATCTCTTCACAGCAAAATCTGCAGAGCTGGGAAGATTGTATCCCCCATATAAATAACATTCTATTGGTAGCAAGAATTTTATATAATAATTTAAATTGAAAGATTCTAATTTTTGAATCCGGTGTCGTTTTGCGTGTCAGTTCATAAACACTATGCCATGGGATCGGTACGTCAAAGATCTCTTCCCAACTATTTTGCAATCTATATGGGACTGCTGTCAATCCTTTGGTCCTTAAGTGAAACTGATATACTTTTTTATTTATCACAGTTTTCCTTAACCAATTATGTTCTTTAATGCAAGGCCGACAGACAAGTTCCTTACTTTCTCCCCCTTCAACTTTCCTCTTCCACTTTTGCGGTATGGCTGCAATTATTTGGTTGTAATTTTGGGTAGAGCAGACATTTCCATATGTTTTTATTAGCTGCATGTGCGACATAACTCCACCAGTCCTACCGATGATATTATTTACGAAGATTATACCTTTTTTAAACATTCTGTCAATAAATATAGGTTTTTTGTCAATTAGTATATTTTAATTTAACCACAATATTTGTTGCATTATTTGTTCTGTCGTTTCTGGAGGATTAAATTGAAATTGTAACCAACTTTCTATGGCTTGTTTTAGAAATAGTGACATTTGGGAGATTATTTTCTTTTCAAATAACTGAAAGTGAGAGGTTGTAATCTGAATAAAGGGAAAAAGGCCTTTCTTGAACAGTGGGTGAGACAATCTTACTAATTTGCTTGAGAACCAGTTCGGATTTAAGTATAACTTTTGGATGACTGAAGATTTTAGTGATAGGTCTAATGCTTTAATATTTAATAATTTCTGTCCTCCGAATTCATATTCATTATATAAATATGCTCTTTTAATTTTGTCTGGCTTGCCGTTCCAAATAAAATTGAATATTTTTTTGTCATATAATTTAAAAAACTGTTTGCTAGGCGTAGGCAAGACCATAAGCAAATAGGTAAACTGGGATAATACTAAAGAGTTAATCAGGGTGATTTTTCCACAAATTGACAGGTATTTTCCTTTCCATGGTAGTAAGATCTTATCAATTTTTGCTAACTTTCTATTAAAATTTATTGAAGTGAGATCATTTATTTCCTTTGGGATATGTATTCCGAGTATATCCACATCACCATCAGACCATTTTATTGGTAAACTACATGGTAATGTAAAAATTGTATTTTTTAGTGATCCAATACGTAATATAGTACATTTGTCATAATTTGGTTTTAAACCAGAGAGGTTAGAAAATGTATCTAGATCCTCTATGAGGCTGTGGAGGGATTCTAGTTGTGGATCTAAAAGAAAACATGAATCATCTGCGTACAATGACACCTTTGTTTTTAAGCCCTGTATTTCTAATCCTCTGATATTATTATTGGATCTGATTTTAATAGCTAACATCTCGATGGCCACAATAAATAGATATGCCGATAGTGGACAACCTTGTTTCACTCCTCTTGACAGTTTGAAACTTTCTGAGAAATAGCCATTATTTACTATTTTACACCTAGGGTTACTATACATGATTTTGACCCATTTTATAAGAGATTCTCCAAAATTGAAATGCTCCAGGCATTTATATATGAATTCCAGTCGAACTTTATCAAATGCCTTTTCGAAGTCTGCTATGAATAGCAGGCCTGGTTTCCCATATTTTCCATAGTGTTCTATTGTTTCCAATACTTGCCTTATATTGTCTCCAATGTATCTTCCATGTAAAAAAACCTGTCTGATTAGAATGAATAATATCCGACAATACCTTTTTAATTCTATGCGCTATACATTTTGCTAGGATTTTTGCATCACAACACTGAAGTGTAAGGGGCCTCCAATTTTGTAAATGGACTGGATCTTTATATTTTCCACTTGTATCCTGTTTCAGTAATAATGAGATCAGACCTTCTTCTTGAGTGTCAGATAATCTACCATTTACATAGGAGTGGTTAAAACATGCTAATAACGGTCCTCTTAGTATTTCAAAAAAGGTTTGGTATACCTCGATTGGTATGCCATCCAACCCTGGAGTTTTCCCGGACTTAAAGTCTTTAATTGCATCCAGAAGTTCCTCCTCTGTAATTTCACCTTCACATGAGTATTTCTGTGTGGCTGTTAATTTGACATTATCAATAGGAAAAAAATCTCTACAATTAGCTTCAGTTAGAGGAGATGGAGGCGACTGAAAAGAAAACATATGCTTAAAATACTTTGTTTCTTCCTTCAAAATATCATTAGGTGAATTATGGGTGACTCCGTCAATTGTAACCAGTTTCATTAAGTTCTTTTTGGTAGCATTCCTATGTTGAAGATTAAAAAAGAATTTTGTGCATTTTTCCCCATATTCCATCCAGTTTGCTTTATTTTTATAATATATTACACTTGATCTTTCTTGAATAAGTTTTTCCATTTCTTTTTGTTTTTCCTCTAATTTATTCTGAGCCTCTATGTTACAGTTTTTATTGCCATCTATCTGTTCTGTTAGACTTTCTATTTCCTTTCTTAGTATAAACTCTTTTGACCTAAATTGCTTTTGTTTTCGAGATGAGTACTGAATTGCATGGCCTCTAAAGGCACATTTAAAGGTGTCCCATACAATAAGGGGATTCGCTGTACCTAAGTTATGTTGGAAAAAGTCAGTTATAAATTCCTTTGTTCTAATTATAAATAAATTATCATCTAATAGGCTTTGATTCAATTTCCAATATCCTCGCCCACGTGGAAATTCAGTCAGAGTAATGTATATGCCTATTATATGATGGTCCGACCACATTCTGTCCCCTATCAACACTTTTTTTACTTTTGGTGCCAACGAGAATGAGATAAGAAAGAAGTCAAGACGACTAGCTTGATTCAGTCTCCGCCATGTATATCTCACTAGATCAGCATATTTAAGCCTCCATATATCTACTAGTTCTAATGTATCCATGACATTCACAATTTCCTTAAGAGCATGTGGGTGATTGTTTGTGGTGTGATTTCCTTTTCGGTCCATTGAGCTATTTAAAACAGTATTATAATCCCCCA